TTCTGGAAAACTGCATAGAATTCAATAGTTATCATTACAGTCTTTGAATCGGTCAAAATAATTATATGAGTGGGTTGAGTGGTGGCCGCTGTCTTTTTCATCGAATCTAAATTTTTGTTGCAATAATTTTCTTCAGATGAAAACAAACACTTAATTATTGCATTCTATTTCGGAAACTTTTTTCTAGAGCAACGATTCCAGTTCAATGATTGTTGATTAATGTAGTACGAGATAACCATGGTAGATTTTTATCAAAAAGAAAGAAAAAAAAAGACCTTGAATTATTTATAAGTTTATGCTATTATATTCTACTTATATAAGTAAAGAGACTACATATATTGAATATTACAACTTTATCTTCATATTAAAAACTCTAATAAAAAAGGATTTTTATAAAAATTATCTTTAATTTTATAAATAATAAAATCAAAATAAAAAATAGTATCCAACTGTGGAAGGTTTGATACAATTTTTTCCTTTGTAATAATTGAAAATACATTAAACTCATGGTAGTGAAATCAAACTAGTAAATTATAAATCAATTTTTTTTATATTTTAAAATTATTTTTGAAATATAAAAATAAATTGATTTCTGATTATTAGTTTAATAAAAATATTTTTTTAATTTTCTGCTTAAAATTAAATTTTTATTTGTATTTTTAAATCATTTTGATATGTTGATATAAAAAATAAATTTTTAAAAAACATTATTTTAATATATTATTAAATATAAAAGATTTTAAAAATTAACCATTATTGTAATAATATATATATATATATATATATATAAAAAGTCAGCTGCGGGTCATGCAAGTAAAACCAGAAGGATAGAAATTCAACAATACCTATTAAGAGACTAAGACTACCCCAAAATAAATAAATAAATAAATATCTGAAGTGTTTTTATGTGATAGCGTGGGTGGGAGGAGAAATTAGTCAATTAAGCAAGTCAACCCAATCCACAGAGCCCCCATTGCTCTTAATCACTGGTCGTAAAAATTAAATCCACCAAGAATAAATAATTATAAAAAGAAAACGTAGAGGAGGAACTAATGGTAATTTGAACTAATCTTTATGCCCCGACGGAAAACCAAATACCAACCTGATTTGAATTCCAGAGTGTGCATCAAGGTTAAGGTTATTGGCTTACCGGTGAAAAAAATTTGTTTTTTTATTGTATTTAGATTTAAATTTTTATGTGCATGTTTATATTTTTATAATACTTTATATGTTTATTAAATTTATAAAATATTTAATAAATTATAAAATTAATTATGATACATGCAATGCAAGCTGATCTAAAAACTTACATATATAAAAAAATAATTTTAGAGTGTACCCTCCATTGTTTTTTTTCATCCTCTTGTTTTGTGATCTACTGTGCAGACAAAGTGTACCCTCCATTGCAGGCTGGCTAAAAGTCAAAAAGAAGAAAAACAAGAGGATGAAAAAATGAGTGGAATCATTCATCAATCAGAAAATATATAATTTAAAAACATTTTAAAAAATCACTGATACCGCAATAATAATTACTATTAAAAAACAACTGATGGCCGAACTGATCGATGCATGCAGCTTCTCAGTGAACCCGACCTGTTTTATTTATCCAGGACGCTTACACGGTGAACGACGGGATATTTATCCAATATTCCACTCGTTGATATTTGTTTCTTTTCTGGTAATCAACGACTGTAGGTGAAGATGGGATATACAGAGGAGAGGATGGGATTTATGAAGAAAAGAAGGTTTAACCAATCATTAGAGTTTAATTATTCCTAATAAATTTGGGATTTTTGTTGTCTTTATCTCAGTCATTATTAATAATAAACACATGGTATGCGATTATTATTATGGTTTAAAGGTTAAACAAATAGATGAAAATTTAGGAACATAGCTCCAAGAGTTGTAATTTCACCCTAATTTAATTTAAACATAAAGTCACAAAATAACATAGAGTCGAGTAATATAAAAAGTGTGGGTTTTTTGTTTTTGACTGAGAAGCATTTTTTACACCCTCACAAAATATTATGGACCTATTATTTATTTTTAATAATTTATTTTGATTTTTAAAATTTTATTTTAGACAATTAGATGCTCATTAAATACCAATTGCTTTTAATTTTTTAAGTAAGTGTGAAATTAGAATAAAGGGAACCAAAATAAAAAATGTGTCATTCATAGGTGGCATGTGTCAAAGATTTTGTGGAAAATACACTTAGATCCTTGATATTTAAAAATAACATAATTTATACAATTTAGTTCCCTTTAAGTTTTAAATTTTCACTTTTAATACAAAAGTTCATTTGTATTATTTTTTAGTTTTTGGTTAAAGAAAACAGAGAGAGGTGTCGCTGAATCCTAACGATGAAAGAAAAATTATCATTCATGCTATTTCTAACTACCAAAATGATTTTTCTTGATGTCCACGAGTCTCATGCAATGAAAAGGGATTGATGGTAGTCCTCAATATTACTAGAAAAAAAAAAGAAATCTAAACAAGAAAGTCAAAAATAACTCAGATTGATTTTAGTCTTTGAGACCTTTTCTAGTTATTATGAATTGATGGATTGGTTTGTAAGTGTTTTAAAGATGTTAGAAATGTGTTTTTGGGTTGAAATGACTTAGAAATTAAGTTTTTAGAAAAAAAAAAAACATTGCTTTATTTTTCAGTCACTATAGTGGTGGGCGAAATATGGGCTTGTAGATGACATGTCGTCTGCATTGCTTGCTTTTTTTTCTCTCTCCAAAAAAATAAGGATTGAAGACAAGTTATTGATCCCTTTAAAAAATTGAAAAAAAGACCAAGCTCCGACCTACGGACCCGAGCTTGTAGGCCTACCTACGCGGCTATGCTTTTCATTACAATGGCCTATGCGTGCTGGGCCATTGGTCCACGAGCCTGGGTTTTTTGTTTTTTTACCTTTAATATATATATATATATATATATATATAGATGAAAAAAATTATTTAACCCGTTTGAATCTACAAATATGAGAAGTTTAGCCACAGCACCAGCCTACTATTATTTTCTAATATATTTTTTTAATTGATAACTTTTTTTTAACATGTTTTTTTTCTAAATATTTTAAAAATTTATGTTTCAATTAATATCTCTCTTATATGATTTTTCTTTTTGCTTATTTAACATTTCTTAGATATAGATATTTTCAATGGTGTTGTGTGTATTTGATTTTTGAAAAGACTATTCATATTTATCTATAATTGTTTTTAATTTTTTGTATATATTAACTTTATTTTTAAAAATAAAAATATTTATTTTCAGATAATATTTCTAATATATGCATCCTTGCATAATATGGCTTCTCCCTTTTATTTTATTTAATCAATTTAATGCGTAAGTCTATTTCTATTATTATTTGATTAAATTAAAAAATAATTTTAATAAAAAAATTCAATAAACACATCTGAGTAAATATTGTGTCTTGTGAGATTAAATATCTTGATCAATAAATTTCCCTTGATTGTTTTCTAGTTTTATTTTTAGTTATTGTTAATGACCCTTTTTGTTTTGTTTATTAACACATATAGTTCTCAATTTATTTAATTATATATATGCATGATTTTTTTATCTGATCTTGGAATTTTTTTATGTACAAAAACACATTAGATATGAAATATTTTTTGTAAAAGAAAAAAGTATCTGCACATGTTAGAGCTCAAGTCAAATAGTTAGTACTATCCATTGCTCGAGATATTGATATCTAGATACTTTATTAGAAGGATTAAAAGAATGAAAATCTAGACTAAAAATTATAATGTTTGGTTCCTGGAGGTTTTTTATGGCTATTTTTTCTTGTTAGCATGTTTTTTTAAATAAAAATATTGGTAAAATGAAAAAATTTGACAAAGTAATATAAATTGTATATGTTGTAATTGAGAAATGCCATATGCATAGTTTGTTACTATCTTAAATATGAACATCCAAAAAAGTGAAATGGATTGCATATTAGGAGAGAGAGAAAAACACTAGAGACATAATAAAGCTCCGATTACTGATTAGTACTTCAAAATGAATTTTTATTAAGGTTTTATATTATCATTTTGCACTTGAAGTATCAATAACTCCTTAACTAAAACATGTTTTATAATAACATATCTAATAATATAAAATACCTTTAATTTATGGTAAATGTTCATTTTAAATTCAGACCTATCATATAAATGAAAGGATTAATTGATGAGTTTAAGAACTGAAATTAAAAGGATAAAGAAATGGCCAAACTTAGAAAAGAAATATTGGTGTAGTCTAAACTAGAACACTGTTAGATAATTGGGTTATATCTAGAACTGTAGTTATCGGATTTAGGTCTACTTTATATGGATGAAAATGTAAGACATAAGCCTACAACTTTCATGTGGAGGTCTGTTTTAAAAAGACTATTTTCAAGTCTAAATTATAGCAACAATGAAAAAGTCTGAACTGTCCTGCAACGTTCAGTGTTTAGCCTATACATAGAGTTCTAGAAGTCCCAATGACCTACATTTTTTTTCTGGAAAGCTGAGACAATTTCCTACAACTTTTATGTTTTCTAGTGGTTCTAATTCTGACATTATCAATGACATTTTGGGCAGAAAAAAGAAGATAAAGATTGTCACAAAGTCAAGAGTTGGTCACTCATTCATCAATTAGTCATCAAATCAATAGTTCCCAATTTTGGCCTATAAAAGGAGGCATTTGCCATGCATTGAGGCATCTTGGTTTCCAGATCAA